ATATTGTGTCCACCTAAAACTGAAAAATAGATATTTATAAAAAATGTTCTGGGGATGTAGTTCAGTGCTAGAGTGCCCTTGGGTTCCCAGTACCAGGAAAAAAACAGACAGAAATAAAGTCAGGAAACAAAATAAAGCAAGGTCAAGTGAAGCCACTGCTGCAGGAATTGTCAGTAACTTCACACCCAGAGGGGGTCCTGGTGCCTGGGTCCCTGGGGCATGTGGCTCAGGGCACCCTTTTAACTAGTGGGTGGCAGAATCCTGAGTGACAGAAAGACCGTGTATACCTATAACAGGTGTCCAAATACTCACCTGGGAGGGGCCTGTAGGGTCAGCACAGCCTCCTCTCTTCTCCCTGCCCCTCCAGGGAAATCCCAGCCACTCCTGCTCCTGCCACCTTCCAGAGCAGCCCGAGGAGCCAGGCGGTGCTAGGAAGCTCTTGAGAACAGTGGGGGCCCAAGAGACACTCCCTTGGGTCCTGCCCTCCGTGGGGAGATGTTCAGTGTTGAGAGTGAGGCAGAGCCCGCCCTCCCGGGGCAGCTCTTCTGTAGCGTGGGAGGAGCCGCTGGCAGGGTGCTGGGGCTGGCGCTCCAAGCATCCTGCTCACACTCTGCCCAGGTCTCCCCTGGCCTCAGCCTGCAGGGCCACCTCCAAGAAGCCGAGGCTCACAGCAGGCTCCAGGGCCTCTGCCTGAGTCCCCTGGGAATGGCCTCATGGCCAGCCCTCTGACTCCACACTGAGGACATCCAGTCCAGCATGGGAGACAGACCCAGCCTGGTCTGCTTCAGGAATCCCCACACGCCGTGTAACAAACAGCATCAGCGTCTGGTCAGGGAAATCTGGACACCTGGCCCTAGGGCATGAGCCTGGCTGGAGGAGACCTAGGCCCCAGTCCTAGAGGCTGCCAAGGTGACGGCAGTGGGCAGGGAGAGCTGGGCAGGGGCCTGGTGGGTACGAGTCTGATGAATGCCACACAGCCCAGGTCCCCTGTGTCCCCTGCGGACCTGGAAGGACCAGCCATAAGCAGACATTCCTGATGACTGCTGGTGGCTCTGGGCATCCAGCTCTGGGTCTTTCCAAAGGGGCTTGGGGAGGACACCCCAGGCCGGTGCTCAGTACTGTCTCTCCTGCAGGCTGGGACCTCATCTGTGTGGGAGGGTAGAGTATGTGTCCCAGGTGAACAGAGCCGCCCAAGGCCAGCAGGGTGGGACGGCTGCAGCTGTGGCTAGCTTCCTGTGCTTGGGCAGGGGCAATCCCTCCGAACGTCGGTTGTCTTAGTGGGCTGGACCCCTCAGGCCAGGGGTGACTCAAAGTCCCCAGGTAGGGCTGGGGTTCTTCTGGGGTCAGTGCTGTTGCTACTGGGACCAGCTCCCCTTGTAGATGGCAGGACATGAAGAGGTGGGCCAGGTGGACATTTCCCTCCTGTGGAGACACCTGTGTACCACCCAGCGGTGTGGGTTGCCCAGAGGGCTGTGGCGCAGCAGAGCTGCTCCCCAGACTACCTGTCGGGACTGGCCCTGGCTCTCCCTTGGCCAGGAGCTCTGCGGGCATCTGGCCCTCTCCTGAGTGTGTTGCCCTGCCCGGAAGCTCCTGCAGCACCCAGTGCTCCTGGAAGAGAAGCAGAGGCGCCCTTCTCCAGCCTCCCCCTCCCCAGCCCATCAGCAATTCAGTTTGTGTGCGCGGGAGGGCGGGCGTGCGTGGAGTCAGAGCTAACAAGATGTATGGATGGGTGGGTTCCCACGGGCAGCTGTGTGCAGGGCTCTGCAGGGGGTTGCTCCTGGGTCGCCCACGGGCCTCTCGCCTCTCTGAGGTCAGGGCGGTGTGGGCCAGGGGTCCAGGTGCTGCCTCTCCAGCCAGGGCCTTTGCCTCTCTAGCTCCAGCATACCCCAGGTTTTCGGGGAGTCTGGCATCCACCTTCCTACCCGTGAGCCACTTGGATCACCATGGAAACAGCAATGTTCTCTACGGGCAGCATCGTTTCTATGGAACCCAAAAAGGCAAGTGGCACGGGGGGCCTAGCATGGGGTGCAGGGCATCCCAAGGGGTGGGCGGTGGCAAGCTTCCAGGCACACACCAGGGCAGCCAGCCCAGGGGTGCCCTCAGGAGGCATCCAGCCTAGCCGGGCCCCTGGAGGGTGTAAACCCTGGGTCTAGGACCACCACCAGGGGCAGGTGGGGTTCCCAGGCTGGGGCGCACGGGGAGAGTCAGCAGGCTCAGCTCAGCTCCCGGGAAGTGACTGTGGGGCTTGGCTGCCACCTCCTACATACCTGGCTGTGCCCTGCACTCTCTGCCAGCTGTGGGGACCCAAGGTAGCTCGTCCTCATTGAGGGACAGGGGAGCCCATAGAAGCCTGCATTGCCCCACTCACTTGCAGGACCTAGGCTAGACCAGGGCTGCTGACAGTGGCCACTGGGTAAGATCAGAGCAGAGCCGTGGCCTGTGGACAGAAGATGGGCTGCCTACCCTGTGGCAGCAGATGTCATCAAAGAGGGCTGCTGAGTTTGGGTCTTTGCTGGCAAGACAGAGCCAGTGGGCCCTGGATATTACAAAGGGCAGGCACAGCTCAGGCAGGGACCACAAATCGGGAGCCTGCAGGAGAGGGGGCCTGGCCAGAGGGGGCAGGGCAGGTCCAGAGGCTTCACCCCCTGTCTCCAGGTTGAGTTTCCTGGAGAGCCATTTCCTTTACATTTAGGACCCCCCCCCCAGGCGCCATGGGCACACCAGAGTGGTCCCTGGAGCCTAGGCAGGTGTTGGGTTAGTGGCCACCTTTAAAATGACCTACATGTGATAGGACTTGAGTGCAAATGTGGAGTCCCACAGGGCTGGAGTCGGTGACATCGGGAATGGGTTGGGTCAGGGAAGGGCAGAGGGTCTCAGAAGACCCCAGTTCCTGGCCCAGGCTGTGGGGGGTGACTTCAGCTTAGATATAGAGAGCCTGGGTGCTGGGTCAACTGGACACTCATGGCCCATCAGTGGTGACGCAGCCCGTCCACAGAGGACAGGCACAGTTTACCACGTCCCTGGGGAGCCCCAGTGAGGCAGAGAAGCCACCAAGGGTGCAGAGAGAGCCTCCTGCTGCCCCTCAGTACCTTCTTGCCACAGACCGCAGACTCAGGGAGAGTCCTGCTTGTCTGGACTCCGTCCAAACAACTGTGGGCACCTGCAGACTGACTAGGGCCCAGAGGATCTGGCCACGCCTGAGGGGGCTGTTCTGTGGGCAGCAGAGCTGGCCAGCTCCCCCGTGCTCCTATCAGCTCCTGGGGGACTGCAGCTGTTTTGACAAGAGTCTGTTAGGGGCAGGCAGGTGTCTGGTCTCAGCCCCAGAAGCCCCACCCCTGAGCCAGGGCCCAGGGACTCCAGGGGCAGTGGGCCGGCTGATACGGAGGCAGCCACTGGCCCTCTGGGCTTTCAAAATGTCGTGGTGGAGCCTCATCTAAAGGACGGTGTTTGGCTTTGGAACCTGAGCTGATTAGGTCTCTCCTGGGCTACCCTCTTCCCCTTGTTTCCAATTAGCGGGAAATTGGCAGGACTTGAGTGACTGAGGCCTTGAGTGACTGAGGCCGTGAGTGACTGAGGACGGGTTGGCGAGTTCCGACCCTTTCTTTTGTTTCCCCTTCTGTCTGTGCCTCAGCTCAGGGCTTCACCCTGCCGCCCACCCACCCAGCTGGGCCGGGGAAGGGGCAGCCCCCAGGGTCCCCCAGAGGCAGAGGTCTGGCCCAGGTTGCTGGGCATGGCCCCAGGGTTGGTCAAGAGAGGAGGGTTTGCCCCAGGCCCAGAGGCCCCAGCTGGGCAGCGAGTCCATGGACCACAGAGGAGCCTGGCACTGCGGCCAGACTGGCTGGGCCCCAAGCTGGGGGTGGGTGGATGCGGGGGTCACTTTCCTTCCTCCCAGTTATAACCTGCTTCAGCCCTCCTCACCCACGTCCACCAGCCCCAGGGATGCAGCGAGCTGTCCAGGGGCCAGGCGGCTCCCCCACCCAGCCCATCCTGCCTTCTTACACCCTCAGCCTTGCTCCTCCCAGGATACACGGCACCTGGGGACACTTGGGGGCTGCAGGCATGCTAGCACACGGGGCCACCCACAGTACTAGACCCTGGGCTGCAAGGGCACCCTCTCACCCGAGGCCTGGCCAGCTGGCTCTGTGGTGGCTCACCTCACAGGTACACCTCGCCTGCCCGAGGCTCACTGCCTTGTGCTCCCCCGGGGCCACTCACTGTCCTGGAGACTCACCCTCCTGCCACCCACCCCACTCTGAAAGTCTCCAGGGCACAGGGTCAGGCAGACAGGAGACGGGGGCGCCATGCCGGGGCAGCTCGAGGGTGCTGGGCCTGAGTGGGCAGAGCCAGGAGTCGTGCCTAGTGGGGAGAGGGCTTCGGTTTGAGGAGAGACTGTGGAGGTGGCTGGTGGAGGCGGCTGGGCAGCTCTGAATGTGCTTAGGCCACTGGACTGTACACTTAGAAGGCGAATCTCATTATTTATTTTCACCACGAGTTTTTAAAAAGTGGAGGCAGAAACCTTCCTGCCGGGTGACCTTGATGGGTGCCAGGGGGACCAAGGGACTCCTGCAGCCGGCGTCTTGGGGAGTCTGGGTCCCTATACCGCTGACCTCGGCTCCTTCTGCTCGCAGATAACTTCTACCTGCGCAACTTGCCCCCCCAGCCCACGCTCCTGCCCTCCAACCACAGCTTCCCCGTGGCCCGCGCTGCTCCTGCCCTCCCCTGTAGCCGAGAGCGGGGCGAGGCCGGCCCCCAGTCGAAGGGCCCCAGGGAGTTTGACCGCTTCCTCACGTCGAAAGAGCTGGGCAAAGAGAAGGCCAGCAAGGCAGTGGAGGGCAGGGAGCGGCCAGTGGAGGAGGATGGCGGCAAAGAGCGGCACAAGCTGGTGCCACCCATGCCGGTGGACGGGCCCTGCAAGGAGGGCGGCCCTGTGCCCCGGGGTTCCTGTGAGGGCCGCCCCAAGCACCTCACCTCCTGCCTCCTCAACACCAAGGTGCTCAATGGTGACATGGGCAAGGCCGCGCTAGCCAGCTGTGCTGGGGGCATGCTAGGCCGGCCTAGTGCAGGGGTCACAGCTTCCGGACGTGCCAAGGAGGTGGTGGGCCCCCCGGAGCCCGGGCCGGCCTTCAGCGAGTGCCTGGAGCGGCGACAGATGCTACACCACGCGGTGTCCTACACGGTGCCCTCCGGCCTACCTACCGGGCCCCCCCCACCCCTCAGCACAGCTGCTGGGTCCTTCCCCTGCCTGCAGCTGCACACGGGCCCCGATGGGCTCTGCCCGCTGCAGGACAAAGTCTCCCGGGACCTAAAGGCCAGCGGGCCCACCTTCGTGCCTTCTGTGGGACACCTGGCCGACAAGAGCCGCCCCTTCCAGGCGGCCGAGGCCTGTGCTGTGGCAGGTGAGGGCAAGGACCGGCACCTGGATGGGGCCATGGTCCCCGACCACACTGCGCCCTACGGAGTTTCCTACACTCACCTGAAGGCCGAGGGCAAGGGCGAGCGGCGGCCTGGGGGCTTCGAGGCGGCCCTCAATCCCCGGCTAAAGGGCCTGGAGTACCTCAGCACCCGCCCCGAGGCCTCCTTCCCTGGACTCCCCAAGGGTGGTCTGGACAAAAGCGGCTACTTTGAGTTGCCCGCCCCTTCGCAGGACTGTGCCCGGCCCAGTAATCAGGACCTGTTGGGTGGGAAGGCCGCCCAGGCCTGCTGCACTTTAGACAAAGCTGCCAGCAAGGAGGCCCCCGCAGCACCCCCGGGGGCCCAGAAGGTGGCCCGGATCCGGCATCAGCAGCACTTGGCCACCCCTGAGGTGGAGCAGGGAGGCAGCGGGGCTGAGGTCAAGCGCAAGTCCCTGGAACTGGCATCTCTGGGCTACAGCGGTCCCCACCTGCCCCCGTGGAGTGTCCAGGCTGGTCAGGGCACCACCATGCCCATCGGTGAAGAGCGCAAGGGCGGTGCCTACCTGGACCCCTTCGGCAGTGGCCTGCAGCAGGCGGCTCTCCTGTCCCAGGAGCTGCCTGCCCCGCCCGACGAGGTCTCAGCCATGAAGAACCTGCTCAAGTACAGCAGCCACGCGCTGGCTGTGGGCCAGAAGGCACCCTTCGTGGGTCTGGGCGGCCTCAAAGCCAGCTGTGTCCAGCAGGAGACAAAGTTCCCCGCCTCCAAGGGCCCAGGCACAGTGGAGAGGCCCGACTGTGCCCGGAGCCGGGAACACGAGGCCGCACAGGCAGACGGGGAGGTGCGGCAGCCGCCTGTGGGCATTGCAGTGGCCTTGGCCCGACAGAAGGACACAGTGAGTCGGCCGGAGACCACCTACAACACCAACAGCGGGCGGCAGGGCCGGGCCGCCCCCACCTTCAAAGGTATGGCCCTTCACAGGCCGGGAGACCACTGGGCAAGCACCCAGGGTGTCCAAGACCAGCTGGCCCTGCCTCTGCCTGTGCGTCCGGTTGGCCCCCCACGCCCTCCCCTAGAAGGTCCTCCAAAGTCCCTGGAGCCAGGGAGCCTTCCCTTGGCGCCTCAGCTCCCAGCTCAACACAAGGTCGCGCCTGCCTCTGCCAGCAGTGCCCTGGCTGCCCCATCTCACCCTTCTGCCCTCCTGACCCTGTGCAGCTGGTGGGGGCCCCCGTGCCACACACGCCCTGGACCTGGAGGGTGAGGAGGAGAGGACGCGACTGTGTGATGACCGCCTGGGGCTGGCTGGCCGCGAGCTGCTGCTACAGTAAGAGTCAGGCTGTGGTCCTGGCAGGGGTGGGGTGCCTCCCAGATGGGCTTGCCCGCTCAGAGCCCTCTAGGGAGCAGGGGCATGGTGGCCAGGACGTCAACAGCAGCCTGACCTGGGCAGGGTCCCACACCCACCGGAGCCTTTCCTGGAGGGCTCTGCTCACTCCCGCTGCCAACAGGGCCACTGCTGGGAAGGGAGGCCTCTGGCACCAGGCCCAGAACCGGGGGCCACCTGTCACCTCCAACCTCCAGCTCCCTTCCAGGTTGATGGCCACAGGGTCGGGGAGCAGGGCAGGGTCAGCCAGGTGACAGGGCTGATTCTGGTGATCTTACAGGGACAACAAAGACCTCGTGGAATTTGCCCGGATTCACCCCTCAAGCGGCTGCCCTGGAGAACTGGCCCCCCACCTTGTGATGCAGGGTGGCCAGCTGGGTGGGGACCCAGCCCCCCATCCCCACCCCGCCCACCCCCCCTGGCTGCCCCGCACCCGCAGCCCCTCTTTATGGATGGGGGGACATTCCTATGGTCAGTGCTCTCAGGGCAAGTGGGGGCTGGCCTGGGGCTGGACCTCCAAAAGTGGGATGTCTGAGAGTGATATGGGCCCCCCGCTTAGCCCATGACCTCTGCTCCCCAGGCCTCGGGCACCCTGCCCTGCACCAGAACCTGCCCCCTGGCTTCCCCACCTCTGTGCCCGGCTCGGTGCCCTCCGTGTTCCCCCTCCCCCAGGATGCCCCCACACAGCTCCTCATCCTGCCCTCGGAGCCCACGCCCCACGCCACCCCTCACGCGCTTGGTAAGGGCCTCCGGGGCCTGGCTGTTTGCTCATGGGGCTGTTGGCAGAGGGCCTAGTCGGGGACAGTCTCTGGGGAGCAGGAGAGGGTGAGGCAGGTGCCTGGCCAGACCCAGGTGGGACTTTGAGGTGGATCATCTGGGGACTGGGTGGCCTGGGAGGACTGAGGGAGGGGAAGCAGTGGGGTAGGCCCTCGGTGCCCGGCTGGGGCTGACCGCCCTCTGGCCCTGCCTACAGCTGAAGTCATGGACCAGGCCTCACTGTGGCCCCCCATGTACGGGAGCCGGGGCCCCACCTCCCACATGCAGCACCCGGGCCAGCTCTCCGTGTATTCCCGCTCTCAGCTGCTGCGGCAGCAGGAGATTTACGCCCTGCAGCAGCAGCAGCAGCAGCAGCAGCAGCAGCAACAGCAACAGCAGCAGCAGCAACATCATCAGCAGCGGGCTGCCCAGGCCCTGGAGCTGCAGCGGGCTGCCCATTTCCAGGTACCACCTTGACGGCCACAGCCAGTGGGGACCCAGGGCAATTTTCCCCCTCCCTATACCAGCTTGGCTGGCCCCAGGAGCCCCTCCACACCTCCTGGCAACAGAGGATGCACAGGTGCAGAGGGGCCACCTGGCTGACCCTCTTCCCCAACTCAACAGCGGAAGCCTGAGGACCACCACCTGGAGCTAGAAGAGCCCACCCAGGAGAAGGCCCTGAAGTCCACCCACAAGCCAGTTGCCTTAACCCCCATGGCCAAGAGCGGTCCCTCACCTGCCGCCGCAGGCCCGGTCAAGCTGCCGCCCTGCTGCCACTCACCCACCCTGAAGCCCCCTACCAGTTGTCCCACACCACCACCTTGCCCCAGCGCCCCCTGCACTTTATCCGTCTGCCCTGCCCGCAGCCCAGGGCCCAGCTCCAAGGTGCCCAGCGCCGAAGACAAGAGTGGGGAGGGCCGGCGGGCCGGAGCCAGCCTCACCACATTGGAACCAGGTGAGCTGGGGCAGCACCATCCTGGCCCAACCCTCCACCTGAGGCCACCCCCTCCTGGACAGGCAGAGCTGATTACAGGGTCTGCCTGTCACCAACCTAAGCCCCCGTAGGGTGCAGGGGGATGCCACCTGCCCCTCCTTCCTCCTTCCTCTTCACCTTGCTCTGGACGGTCCATAGAGAAGAAGCACATGGGTCCCCGCTGCCTCCCTCCCCGCCCTTGGCAGTGGGGGCTGGAGGAAGGTCAGGCCTGGCGGCCAGCACTGGGAGCTGATCAGGTGGCAGGGCCCTTGGGGATGCCAGACCAGGACCTGTCCCCAGCCCTGAGCCTGGGCCTCAGCGAAGCTGGGCATCTCAGCCAACTGCGACCAGCGGCCCTGCTTGGGTCTGCGCAAGGAGGACCTGTGCCCACCATTCCCCAGCCGCCACGTGGTTCTCTGGATCAGGCTGAGAACCGAGCTCTGGAAACCGTGTGGGACATAAAACCCATCCCAGTTCCACAGTGAGGAGGCTGAGCCCAGGAGGTTTTGTGTAGTTCTTATGGAGTTAGTGGGCGCACTGCCTCAGCGCCTGCCGGCTCTCTGTCCGGGGAGAGCCCTGATCCAGGCATCATGCTTAAACCCCTTCCTGGTGGGCCACCCTGTACCCTCCAGAGGTGCCCTGGGGCTCTCCTCCTGCCACCCCCCAGACCTGCCCAGGCCCTGCCTCAGGCCCAGAGGGCTGGCGGGGACCCCCACAATGGTCGCCCCGTCCTATGGCAGAGCCTCACCTCCTGCCCTGCCTCTCCTGACCTGTTCCCTCTTTCACAGACCTGCCTCCAGGATACCTGCGCCCCACGCCTGGCATGGGCTTCTCTGCCTCCCTGCCCTCAGGAGGGCACTCATCTGACCTCCCGGACCCCAAAACTATGCAAACTGCCGCCCCAGGGGCTGAGCCTGAGCCTGTGAGGACGTTCCTGCCCAGGGAGCCACCCCCCTGCAGCCCCAGGAGCCTGGAGGAGTCTGGGCTGCTCTCAGGGGCCAGGGAGGCCACCCAGGACCTTGCCGCCACACCCCACCCCGCTGAGCGGGGACCCCCAGGGAAGGCAGAGGACCCCAGCCCACTTGAAGGGCTGCAAGAACTGCAATTTGGGGCCCTCCTCGAGGGAGGGGCCCCTGAGGCCACCGGCCAGGCTAATTCTACTCAGGGAAGGGCGCAAGAAGAGAGGACCAGAGAGGAGGGGGTGCAGGGACCCCCACTAGGGGCCTCCCCTCAAGCCCTGCAGCAGCAAGCAGGGAGCCCTGGTGCCCTGGAGGAGGACGAGGAGGGCCTGGGGCTTGCCCCGGAAGAGGCCCAGCTGCAGGAGGGAGGTGTGGAGGACTCCGAGGAGGACTGGGGGGCTCCCAGCAGCAGCCACCCACCCAGAGCACTGCTGGGGCTAGATGCCTTGGTGGCCGCCACTGTGGACCTGGGGGACCTGCCCAGCCTGAGCCTGCTGGACCCTCTCCCCCCCGCGACCTCTGGGCCCCCCAGCACAGCCACCCTGCCCCGTAGCTCAGGGATTCACGGAATCGCCCTGCTCAGCGAGCTGGCAGACCTGGAGACCCAGCGACAGAGGAGCCAGCGGGCCACGCAAGGTGAGCTCTGCCTGCAGCCTTCCCCCAGGGCCTGGAGCCGGGCCCTGGGGGCCAGGCCACCCTCCATGTGGTTTTGGAGGAGGAGGGCAGCACTCACGTGTGCTGTCTGCATTTCCCATGGGACATGGTAAGACCCAGGACCCGGGGGCAGATGGAGGCCTTGTGACAGGAAAGGGACAGTCGGCTCCACCCTCCCCCTCCACGGGACCCCCACCACTCAGCTCCATGGCTCCTGGCCCCGGGCCTGGTGTGGCCAGTGTGGGAAACGTCTGCCTCTCCTCCCAGGCCCAGGGGACAGAGCACCAAGGCGGGGGTCAGCTGGACCACCAGGTCTGAGCCTCCGGGCTGAGTCAGCAGGCATTCCTGCTGCAGGCAACCGCAGGACAAGGAGCCCCTGGGCTCACCAGCCACCCAGGACCCGAGAGTGGGCAGGGCAGGGCCGTGGGCCAGCAGGGTGAGCTGGAGACTGCGGCCCGCTGCCAGGCTGGGGCCTGACCACCTCAGAGGCCCAAGGGCCAGCCTCTGCTGGGCAGGTCCCAGCTCTGCCCCCACCTCGTCAGGACCCCACATGGTCCCCTCCTGCCCCCAGTAGTCCACTTCCTCTTCCTGCCAGAGCAGTGCCATGTTCCCCTTTGACCCCAGAGGAAGTCCCTCCTGGGGGGAGCACCCCAGCCGGGCATGGTGCTGCAGGACGTCTGTAGAAAGGGCCTGCCCTTCTTTTCCTGAAGCACACAGCTCCCCACGCCCCTGTGCCCCTGTGTGCTGTGTGGGGATGGAGTGAGTGTCCCTGTAAAGCCGACTTCCCCCAAGGCCTCTGTCCCTCTCGGCGTGTGGCTGCAGGGAGGCCTGGCCTGGCCACCACTCTGGCTGTGACCTGGGCAGGGGAGCCGCTGTGGAGCAGCGCCAGGACACGCCTGCCCTGGAGGTGCACCCAGCAGCCCTTCCAGGGCCCCCTGCTCCTGCTGGAGTGGACTCCCAGCTGGACCCCCAGGGAGACCTCGCTGGGCCTCCTGGCCACATACAGCAGGGTCACCCAGGGTAAGCCCAGTGCCAGGGACTCCCATGCGAGCATCCCGTAGCAGTCCAGGGGATGGCTTAAGGGGCACCAAGTGACTGTGGCGCACGTGTGCACTTGTGTGTGTGTGTGTGTGTGTGCGTGCGCGCACGCTGTGGCTGCCAGCTGGACCAGGGCCCATTCATTGAGTAAATACATGCAGAGCACGTGTTCTGCGTAGGAGGCCAAGTTTCGCAGGCCAGCGCAGGCGCTGACTGTCAGGCCAGGTCTCCTGCAGCCCGGGTGGTGGAGTTCAGGCTGCCCGAGACACCCTGCAGCAGCCACACCCCCTCTGCCCATCCCTTCGATGGGCTCTTCCTGAGCCATGTCCAGCAGTAACTGTTCCTGACAAGTACAGTGACCACTTTGGCTGAAATGAACCTGATAAGTTTCATTCTGCACCACAGAGCAGGATTCAGAGGGACCCGTGGGGCCTGGACCCCGGGGGAGACCCCAGGGTACTTCAGGCCCCCTGCCTTCTGAGGCCTGCAGGTCCAGCTGTGTGAGGCCAGTAAGGGCTGCACACCTGTGGCCTTGAGGGCACCTGGAGAAAGCCCAGGGGAGGAGCAGAGAGGCTCTGGTGGCTCACAGTGACCCCAAGGGACAGGCCACCAGAGCTTGTGGCTGAAAGGGGCTTGTCCATGGACCTCTGCTCCTGCCCACTGAGGGAAGTCCTCAACCCTCCTCCCTGCCAGTCTCAGGACCCTGGACTGTCTGAGGCTGAGGGCTCCCTGTGGTGGAGACTGGCAGTGGCCTTGACTGTGTCTGGAGGTCTGGGTGTCTGGCAGCTGCCCCTCTGGCAGCCCCTGCCATCTGGGCCCCAGGTCTGGAGTAGACTCACCCTGTCTTCTGGGCTCTCTGCCTCCTTGCCCCACACGGGGTGTCCCTGACCCTGAAGACGAGAATCCGCCCGTCCCTTTGTGGTTGGGTTCAGGGGCCCTCGGCAGGGCACAGCTGTGCCCTCCTGGGAGGTCTCCCTCGGCTGTGTTTGCCCTGACCCGCCGGGTGGGCCCCCCACCTGCCCCTTGCCATTCAGGGCTCTAGGTGGAGAGGCCCTGGGGACCCTGTGACAGCTCCTCCGCACGCACTCCTGTCTGCTCTGCTGACAGCAGCGTGGCTGGCAGGTTCTGTCTTTGCAGCCAACTACAATCCATTATGGTCTCTCTTTATTCTGATGACCAGATTGCCCAGGTTTGGCCGGAGGAGCCCTTTGGCTAGTTCCTGTGTGCTGTCAATGTGTCCCTGTCCTTGATACTCATCGATTTATTTGTTTTTGGTACCGAGATTGAACACAGGGTTGCTGTGCCACTGAGGCACATTCCCAGCCTTTTTATTTTCTGTTTTGAGACAGGATCTTGCTAAGTTACTTAGCGTCTCTCTAAGTTGCTGAGGCTGGCCTTGAACTTGCCATCCTCCTGCCTTAGCCTCCCGGGCCACTGGGATGACAGGCGTGTGCCACCACACCTGGCTCCTGTCGTTGCTTTCTGAAGTACCAAACATCCACCAGCTCAATCTCTGACTGCACACTGGACTGTCCCTCCCTGGCCCCGACTCCAGGGTTTCCCTTGTCCCGCTGTCACTAGTGGGGTAACCTGTGACACCCGGCTCGGCCCCCACTCTGGTCCCCAGGTGAACCCCTATGCCTTCTCCCTTACTGTGGTCAGCCATGCCCACTGCTGCCTACCCCGGGGCCAGAGCGTGCAGTCTCCCCTGCCCAGGTGGGCTGGGAGGAAGGGCCGTGCACAGCCCAGCCTGCCTCGGGGCCTGGAGAGGTGCAGGGAGCTCTGGGGGCAGGACTGGAGGAACTGTGGGGGCCTCCAGGAAGAGAGACAGAGCAGGAAGCTGCACCCTGCCCGGGCCAGGGCCTGCTCTGTCCCCCGGAAGCCCCCGCCAGGCCTGGCCGCCCTGTTCTCGAAGAATGGGGGAATTGCCATCCCCCCTCCCATGACCGCCACCACCCTGCAGCTGCTCCTGGGGCCTCCGTCAAGCTGGCAGGAGGGTGGACAGGCATCTGGACGCAGGGGTGAGCAGTGGGTAGCTCCTGGAGGTGGTGAGCTCGTCCCTGGAGCCACCGTGACGAGCCCAGCTCAGCCGTGTGGGTCTGCGATGGGGAAGGGTCTGCCCCGGAGTGAACTTGGCTGTGGCAGTGCCGGTGCTGGCTCTGTGTCCTGAGAGACGCCGTTGCGGGCCGCGCCACAGTCGGCTCTGGGCAGCAGCTGCTCTCCCCAGTGTGAGTCCTTCCCCCAGGGCAGGAGCCTCGGGCCCCAGCCCATCTGCCCCTGCAGCCAGGGCCTTCTCCCCCACCTGGAGCTGCTGGGGCTCAAGGCACCTTCCCTGTGGCCTGGCCCTGGTCCTTAGTCCTCACATCAGGACTGGGCACTCCAGGGGCTGGGGCTGTGCTGCCGTGGGGGCTGACATCAGGGGTCTCTTTAAGGGCAGTGTGGGACCCTTACTGACCCTCCTGTCCCCCGCAGAGGAGGATGAGGACGTGCTAGCCTTCAACCTGCACCACCTGGCCACACTGGCTACCGCCTGGTCCCTGGCAGAAGCCGCCAGCCCAGACAGCTCCTCCTCCGCCCAGCCCCCTGCTGCGGACCCTGGTGGCCCCAGGCTCACCCCCCGCATGCAGATCCTACAGCGCAAGGACACCTGGACCCCCAAGACCAAGCCTGTGAGTGGCAGTTCCAGGGCACACAGCCAGTGCCATGACAGGGCAGGCCCTGCCCACCAGCCCTGCCCTAAGGCTCTGGCCCGGCTCTCAGGCCCCTGTGCCCCTGCACACAGGTCTGCCCCTTGAAGGCTGCCATCGACCAGCTGGACACACAGGAGGTGGAGATGCGCATGCAGCTGGCAGAGCTGCAACGGCGCTACAAGGAGAAGCAGCGAGAGCTGGCGCGCCTGCAGCGACGGCATGACCATGAGTACGTGGGGGCGGCACCTGGGACAGTGCTGGGGCAGATGCAGATTCCAGCCAGGCCATGCTGGCTGCCTTTGGGCAGGGGCCTCGCCAGGTCTCCAGGAAACTGGGGTCCCCGAGGCTCCTCAGTGGTGGTGATAGCCCTGAGACCTGGGGGTGAGACTTCAGACAGAGCAGGCTGTCTCCCAGAGACCAGTCCACAGGGTGTCGAGGAGAGGGGACCAGTGCCAAGGCCGTCTGGCTGGGAGTGGGGGCTCCAGGAGCAGAGGTTAGCCCGCAGGGCCATGGGGGGCGGGAGCTCCTGGCCCGTGTGTGCTGGACAGCTGGAGCCCAGAGGCCGGGAGGGGCAGGGTTCTGCAGCCAGAGCTGCAGGGTGGGGGAGCCTCTGACAGCTCTCCTCTGGCCCCCAGGAGAGAGGAGAGCTCTCGGAGCCCTGCGCGGCGGGGGCCTGGCCGCCCCAGAAAGCGCAGACACTCCAGCTCGCTGTCTGCCCTGCGTCCTGGGGGCCAGCTGGCCAGGAGCGAGGGCAAGAAGGCCAAGTGAGTGTGGGCGTTGGGAACAGGGTGGGCAGGGCTGGGCTGGCGCTCACGGCCTGGACAGCTGGGCTTTCTGTCCCTGCTGCCTGGGCTGCGGCTGCCCTTCACACCTTGTCTGAAGGCCCAGCACGGCCCTTCCAGGACTCGAGGACAGGGTCCTGGGGACAGAGCCCCACTGGGGCAGGCACTGCCAGTGCAGACACCAGCTGCAGTCACCATGTCCGCGCCACCCTCGGGAAGCCCCGGCCCCCATGTTCGGCCACACCGGCCCCAGGACCTGGCCCCGTGTGTGAGGCGGCGTGGCGTAAAAGGCTCTTTATCTGCACTGTATAAAGTCGCGGTCACGCTGCGCTGCTGCGCACGCTGCCGCGGAGGTTATTATCCATTACCCGCCCGGCGCTGTCGACGGCGCACTCCCGGGCCGGGCATAATTGTCCTTCTCGGCTACAAATTGCCTCTCCCGGCAGGCCCATTTACATAAATCCTCGGAGCTCCTCAGAACGCGATTGGCGCGCGCGCTTGTGCACCGCATCAATCCCGATGATTTGGTAATAATAGTTAAATCGGCACTAAATGGTTCCTTCAATTAAGACAGAGGCAAAAAATTAATCTCAGGGCTTTATGTCACAAAACATTAGCAAATGCAGAGAAGGTTACGGGGCGGGGAGTGTGCGTGGGCTGCAGGAGGGGGTCCACCATATGGCTGGGCATTGCCCGGCGGTCCCTCCCTGCCCAGGTGTCTCCCAGTGGGGGTCTCCCTTTGAGAACCAGCAGGCACCCTGGGGCTGCTGGGCAGGAAGGGCCACTGGAGGCCAGGCCCTGGCCAGGGTCTCTGTCGTGGAGCCCGTACAGAGGCATGGCAGGCCCGGCAGCTTCTCCCTGCCCTGCTTCGCTGCAACCCCAGCCTGAAGCCTTGACCTTGGGACAGCATTGCTGACCCACAGAAGCCGCAGCCTCGGGGCCGGGAAGGAAACCCGGCCCAGAGAGCAGGTCCCTGCCTCTCCCCCACCTCCGGCTTCTGTCCCCACTCTCCATCCACACGCTACAAGACTCGAGGCTGCAGCCAGCAGTTGGGCCCAGGGGATGGGCCCTCTGCCCTGCCGGAAGTGGGAGGGTCAAGCAGGGTGGGCAGGAAGCTGGGGGCTAGGAGGATCTCACTGCAGGGCTTCCTGCCCGGCCTTCTCAGCCAACAGAGGCCCGGCCTCCTTGCTGGACAGGAAGGTGACGAGGGACGTCTGGCCCCACAAGGCCAGACTGGGTCAGCCTCTCAGTCCCCGTCTGCGACCCGGTGTCACGAGCAGCCACACTCCCTTCTGCGCCCCGTGGGCAGGGCAGGGTTGACGGGCTGCCGAGCCCCCAGCCCCTGTCCAGCTGCGGGCAGGCAAACACACGCCAGTTTCCCCAGGCGCATGGGGTGGTGAGGAGCGTCGAGCCTGTCTCCTGCGCCGCACTGATCCTGGGTCAGCCCAGCCCAGCTCCCCACCTGGAGGAGGCCACACAGCTGCAGGCCCTGGGGAAGTGGAGACACAGCCCCTCTGGGAGGTGGACGGGGGGTTCAGCTGCCTCCACAAGACCCCCTTGGAGGGCTGAGCCTGTGGGGGCCCCAGGGGACTTGGAGGGAGAGTGTGTGTTTATGTGGCTGTTGCCCCACCCCACCCCTTCTGAAGTGGACCCTGACCTCAGGAAGCTGTCCCAGTGCCTTCTGTCCCAGCTCTGGTAGGGCCTGGCCTTGGACACTTGCCAAAGGCCAGGCCTGGACTCGTGTGATCCCCACCCCAACCTTGCAGTAACCGTGTTACTGCCCGATTTCCAGGTGGAAAGACTGAGTCCACTGTCCCAGTCACCAGGGGCCAGGCAGCTGCACAGCCCTGGCTCCTGGGGGCTGGGCTTCCTCTTGGGGGCTGGGGCCTCACCAGTGGTTAAGACTGGACACCACTGAGAGCTTTCTCCCCAGCAGGGTAGAAGGATGGGGTGGGATAAAGAAGCGCCCCACTTCCATCACAGCCCTGCAGGGAGCAGGTGCAGACACAGAGGTGCCCCGATCGCCAAGGGCCTGTGGTCAGGAGGCAGAGCATATTGGTGGGGAGTCAAGTGTCCAGAAGAGCTCAGTACTGGCCCAGACCCTGACCCCCAGCAGAGACCCATCCGGGAAGGCGCAGGGGGCTGTCCTAGGCACACAGGGACTGTGGGAACAAGGCTTAGGCTCCTGGGCAGAGCTGCTGTGCCCATGCCTGTGCCCACCTTGCCCACCACTGCCTGTGCCCCCAGGGCAGTGAGGGCCAGCCTAAGCCTACTGTGTGCAGAGCTTCGAGGCCGCGAGGAGCCCAGGAAGAAGCGGAGCAAGCTGGAGGACAGCGTCTATGTGGGCCTGCAGCCGTCCTCCGGGGTGAGTCTATAGCTTGTCCCCCAAGATCGACCTGAGCCATGTGACATGGGGACAGGGACACTGGAACGCCCACTGCTCCTGATGCCCTCCGTCCTCCAGCAGGGGTGGCCCCTGCGGACAGGAAGACAGCTCCCTTAGGCCGAGCACCCTCTGGGGAGGCTCTGGATGCAGTGTCCACCAGGTGCATACCTGGTGCTGGCCCTTCTGCTGAGCCCAATATCCTTCACCCAGCACCAGGGCCCCTGAATAGGATGCTGAGGTAGGGGCCACTCAGTGGGGCAGTAGGGCAGTGCCATTGGGGAGCTGCCTTCGAGCCCAGCGTTGGCAGAGGCAAGCCCAAAGCCCGAGAGGCTGTGGCCACGGTGGGCCAGGATGTAGCCACGGCCTCCTCGTCCTCAGGAGAAGGTGCGGTGCAAGAAGAGCAACACTCAGGGTGAGCTGGGGTCCTCTGTGGCCCACCAGGTGGCCCAGCTGAAGCCGAAGGTCAAGAGCAAGGGTCTGCCCAGTGGCCTCAGCCCCTTCCAGAGAAAGGAGGCTGCCCCAGGTGGGCGCATCCGGAAGAAGCTGTCCCGAGCCAAGAGTGCCAAGGTGTCCAGGGCAGCCCGGCACTCACAGCCTGACGGTGACGGCGGCAGGGAGATGCCAGCGGGGGCCACGGCACACGAAGCAGGCACGTTGCTGGTGGGCAGGGTCACAGCCAGGACTCCAGGCCTGGAGGGGGGGACAGGGGCGTGGGCACTGCCAAAGCCAGGTCAGGCTCATGGAGCTGGGCAGACCTGGGAGGACCTCTCACTGGGACAGGCTGGGAAGGGCCCTCACGGCCAGGGCAGAGCTCAGCGGCTCTCCCTGTGGAGGAAAGAGGCCCTTGGATACATCCTGGAAATGGGGGTTAAAAATAGCCTCTGCCCTCCGGGGCCTCCATTCCTGCAGTGTCCGGCCAGGGGTCATCTCCCCAGCAGCCGTGTGTCCAGGAGCAGGAGCCTGGGAAAACAGACACTTCCTCCCTCCCCAGCCCCTCCCCAGGGTCAGGGGCTGCAGAGAACAAAGGGAAGCCCTGCTGGGGGTGGGGTGCAGGAAGCCGGCCATCTGGGCCCCGGCATGCAGAGAGGGGACAGAGGGGATGGCCTGCCTGGGGAGGGGCCCAGCCATGCAAATTGGGGCTGTAGAAAGAAAACCCCTTCCCCTCCCCCACCGAACACCCTCAGCTTGAGGGCTGGGTCCCCGAGTTCCACCAAGAGCAGCCCTAGAGCAGCCCAGAGGGAGTTCATGACAGGCTGGACCTCCAGTCCCCACAGGCCCCCCTCCCACCCCCAGATGGCAAGGCTCAGCCCCCTTTGCTGTCCCCAGGCAGCGGCTATGACAGTGAGGACTGCCAGGCCCTCCTGGAGACGGCGGCGGCCCCCACGGAGCCCGGGCTGCTGCTGCACTCGGGGTCTGGGGCAGCGGTGCTGGGGCCCTCGCCCTCCTCTGTGGTCAAGATGGAAGCCAACCAGAAGGCCAAGAAGAAGAAGGAGCGGCAGGGCTTGCCAGGTAACAGGAGGCCAGGCCAGCGGGCAGCAGGGCTGCACCCACAGCCAGAACCCGTGACGGCCTCCCTCCCTCCCACAGGGGCCTGCCGCCTGTCCAGCCCCGAGGGCGAAGTCAAGATCAAGCGGCGGACGGTGAAGGCCAAGGTGGGCTCCAAAATGGAGCGGGCCCCAGGCCGGCGACCCCCAGGTGCACCGGGCAAGAGGAAGTCCAAGGGTAAGGCCGACAACGGACTTCGGGCAGAGCCAGGTGCCACTGCCACCAGGGACACCCTCTTCAGTCCCGCCCGGGCCTTCACCTGCCGCGAGGAAGGCAGCAAGCTGGCCAGCGAGCGTCTGCAGAGAGCCACACGCAAGAGCACACTGTTGCAGCCCGTGCTGCGGGTGAGGCCAGCCGGGAGGGGAACTTCTGCGGCTCGCTGCTCCCTGACCCCAGGTGTCCGAGCCAGCCAGTTGGGCATTGCCACCCTTACCACTGCCCCTCTCTTCCGCCCTCCTCCCCACAGAGGAAGAACGGGGCCCTGTCCATCGCCCTGTCTGCCCGCAACGCCAAGGCCATCCTAGGAAAGGGCAGGAAGCTGGGCAAGGTGAAGAGCAAGGCTGTCAGCACCCAGGTAGCAGCCCGCCCAGCCCGGGAGCCGGGCCCGGCCTCTCCTGCCCTGCCTGACTCCTCTGGCCCCCAGGCTCAGGGCCGAGCGGTGAGCCGGCTGCTGGACACCTTCGCTGCGGAACACGACTTCGAGTTCGCTCGAGACAGCAGCTTCTCGGAGGAGGAGGAGGAGGAGGCCAGCAGCCCCCTGAGTGTGGAGCAGAGCACTGCCCTGGGTGAGTGGGCGGGACGGGCACCAGGCTGGGTGGGGTGGGCTGGCGCTGACGCTCTCCCCCACAGCTCGATCCTGCACCATCCACAAGGAGGACCTGCAAGACGGGCTGCCGGTGCTCATCCCCAAGGAGGACAGCCTGCTGTACGCGGGCAGCGTCAGGACCCTGCAGCCCCCCGACATGTGAGGCCCGGTGTGGACGGGAGGGACAGGGCTACAGCTGCAAGTCCCCCACAGGCCCCTCACGCTCTCCCATACCCTCAGCTACAGCATCGTCATCGAGGGCGAGAGAGGCAATCGGCAGCGGATCTACTCGCTGGAACAACTACTGCAGGAGGCGGTGAGGGAGGCGCCTGCCTGGGGGACAGCCTTGGGGGTTTGCCCTGGGCCCGGAGACAGCCTTGGCCTGGCCCTTTGGAGAGCCCCTGTGGCCAGGCCCCGCCTGCTCACAGGCCACTCTCCTCTGCCCACCACCACTCGCTGCAGGTTCTGGACGTCAGGCCACAATCCAGCCGGTACCTCCCGCCTGGCACACGGGTATGTGCCTACTGGAGCCAGAAGTCTCGCTGCCTGTACCCAGGCAACGTGGTCCGAGGTAAGCCTGTCCAAGAAGCACCCGGGCCAGGCTCCCTCTGAGACCCTGTGTACCTGGAGACCCCACCCACACAGCACTTCATGCCGGGGAGGACGGAGAGGCCCACCTGGGCCCCTGCTTAGAGCAACACCACAGGAGCATCTCCCAGGGGCCATGAGAAGCAAGGAGGGCCTGGGCAGAGAGGTGCCCATGTCCAGCCAGGCAGGGGGGCTGGGAGGACGGACTCAGAGCCCAGTGCTGGGTCCCCAGATCCATGGTGCACAGACCAGCTCTCCCGAGGCAGACCTCTGGTGCCAGGGCAGGATGGCTGGTGGGTCCTCAGAGGAGTGGGCGGAGGCCTGCTGGACTCTCCTGGAAGGGGCCTCCTCCCAGGTGACTTGGCTAGAGGTGTGTGTGCACCTGCACAGGTGCATGCCCTGGGGTTGAGTGGCCTAACACCTGCCAGCCACGCCCCAGGAGGGCCGAGAAGGCCGTTGGCGCCCAGGCTGCAGTGGCAACTCCAGGGCCAGCGGGGACTGGAGAGTAGCAACATCCCGCTCAGCCCCCCACTGTCCCTCCTGCCACGTGCTCAGGCTGTGTCCCCTCGGCAGGCGCCTCCAGCGACGAGGAGGAAGACCTGGACTCCGTGGTTGTGGAGTTTGACGATGGGGACACAGGCCACATTGCTGTCTCTAACATCAGGTTGCTGCCTCCGGACTTCAAGATCCAGTGTGAGCACCCTGCATGCTCCCCTCCCTGGCCCTCCTGCCCAGGCCAGCTCTACCTCAGCTCCCAGAGAGGAGGAAGGGAGGAGGGGTGCCCCCCGGGCCCCACTGAGCCCTTCTGCCCGTTCTGCAGGCACAGAGCCCTCTCCAGCCTTGCTGGTGTCCAGCAGCTGCCGGAGGACCAAGAAGGCAGCCAACGAGGCCCCCCCATCCAGTGAGGCCCCCACCCCCAGCCTCTCCCCTAAAGCACAGGATGGCCCTGAAGCCACAAAGACCCCTGGGAAGAAATCCATCGTCAAAGACAAAGCTGGTATTTGCAGGACTGCAAGAGCCCAGGGCAGGGAGGCCCTGGTGGGGGTGGGCAGCCCGGGAGGGGGAGCACCCACGGGGAGGCCTGGTAGGGCTGGGGAGGGGCAGGTGGAGGCCACCCGGGGACCCAGCTGGTGCCGCTGACCCTACCTGGCTTCCCCCCCAGGCAAAGCAGACCTCCTAACCTCAGGTGCCAAGCCCCCCACGGGGGCCTCGGACCACTTCCTAGGCCACAGGGGCAGCCCCCTGCTGAGCTGGTCAGCGGTGGCGCAGACCAAGCGCAAGGCGGCAGCGGCGGCGGGCAGCAAAGGGCCAGGGGTGCTGCAGAACCTCTTCCAGCTCCACAGCGCCAAGAAGCTGCGGGCCCGCGAGGCCCTGTTCCCCGCACACACCGCGGCCACCCCTGTGTTCGGCAACGGCTTCCGCGCCGACTCCTTCAGCAGCCTGGCCAGCTCCTATGCCCCCTTTGTCGGCGGGTCTGGGTCAGGCCTGCCCGGGGGAGCCCACAAGTTGCTACGGGCCAAGAAGTCTGAGCGGGCGGAGGCTGAGAAGGGCGGGCGGCGGCGGGCAGGCAGCGAGTTCCTGGTCAAGCTGGACCACGAAGGCGTGACCTCCCCCAAGAACAAGAACTGCAAGGCGCTGCTCGTGGGTGACAAGGACTTCGGCCCCAAGCTGGGGCGGCCCCTGCCCAGCCCCAGCTACACACACCCGGCCCTCATGGGCAAGGACAAGAAGGGGCGGGCACCTGCCCACCCGCTGCCCATGGGGCTGGCTCTGCGCAAGTACGCAGGGCCAGCCGAGTACCCACTGCCCTGCGACAGCGACTGCCCCAGCTCCTACTCGGACGAGGACGAGGATGGGCCGGGGCTGGCCGCCGGCATGCCCTCCCGCTTCCTCACCCGCCTGTCCATGTCCTCCTCCTCGTCCGGCTCGTCCACATCCTCCTCCTCAGGCTCCATGTCCACCTCCAGCCTCTGCTCCTCAGACAACGAGGACTCCTCCTACAGCTCCGACGGGGAGGACCCGGCCCTGCTGCTGCAGACCTGTCTCACCCACCCCGTGCCCGCCCTCCTGGCCCAGCCCGAGGCCCTGCGCTCCAAGGGGGGCAGCCCCCATGCCCACGCACAGCGCTGCTTCCTGTCCAGGGCCACGGTGGCCAGTGCAGGTGCGGGCACCGGCCCCAGTGGTGGCAAATCCAAGCTTAAGCGCAAGGAGGCCTTGAGCTTCTCCAAAGCCAAAGAGCTTTCCCGGGGGCAGCGGCTGCCCTCCGTGGAGAACCGGCCAAAGATCTCAGCCTTCCTGCCTGCCCGGCAGCTCTGGAAGTGGTCGGGGAACCCCACACAGGTAGGCGGGCTCCTCTCCCCAGGGCCCAGGGCCAGCAGAGGAGCTCCTGTCCCCAAAGAAACTGGGTTCCTGTCTCTTTTCCTGTCCACACCCGAGTGCGGCTCTGGGGTAGCCGGGCCTCCTTTGGACGGGGCAGCTGCCTTTGTCCTTGCCTATGCTGTCCTACCAACGACTCCGCACCTCGGCCCAGCAGGTGCCTGCGCTCTGCTTCCCCTGGGCCATGTCCCTGGGTAGTTCTGGGGGCTTTTTGTGAGTTGGTGGGGAGGCGGCCAGCTTTGGGGGGCTGCGGGAGGGGGCACCACGTGGACGTTCCTGGTACCTGAACTTGCTCGTGGGTGCCTGGGGCTGTCCATGGGGCCCTTTGCACTTGTGGACAGTGCTGTGCTGAACCCAGGCGCTCCACTCTGCCCCGATTCTGCCATCGGGATCACTGCAGTCTTCCTGTCCGACCCTGTGTGCAGGGCAAACCCGGGCGTGGCCCACTCCCAGGACCAGGGTCTGTGCCTGGCAGCACAGTGTGGGCATTTCTGCCCTCCCAGGAGCCCTTGGGCATCACCCAGAGGCTGCACTGTTCCTCCTGCTCTCACTAGGCCTGTCCTCCTCACCTGGGCACTCCTCACCTGCTGCCTCTGGCTGTCCCCCTGCAGAGACGTGGCATGAAGGGAAAGGCCCGGAAGCTGTTCTACAAGGCCATCGTCCGGGGCAAGGAGGTGCTGCGCATTGGGGACTGTGCCGTCTTCCTGTCGGCCGGGAGGCCCAACCTGCCCTACATCGGCCGCATCGAGAGCATGTGGGAATCTTGGGGCAGCAACATGGTGGTGAAGGTCAAGTGGTTCTACCACCCCGAGGAGACCAAGCTGGGGAAGCGGCAGAGTGATGGGAAGGTGAGGGTCTGGGGGTGGTGAAGCAGGCACAGTGGGGGCAGCATCTCAGCAGCTAGGGCCAGCGGAGCGGCCTCTGGAGTGCCTGCCTGCTGGGAGCCCCGGGAGCCCTGGGGGAGCACCTGCCTTGTCCCCTGGAGCACCCGGGTCCTGCCTCCCTAGGGCTCTGTGACCCCGCACCAAGCAGCTCCCCCCCCCCCCGCCCTCCGTCCCCCCTCCCATGCCCCTGACCCACACCTGGAGAAGAGTGGAGCTTCCAGGCGTGTGGAGGAGCCCCCTTGGGGGTCTCACAGCATGGGGTCCCCAGCACAGGCTCCCGGCCTCTGTGAAAGCTCTTCTGTGACCCTTCCCGAGCACAGGGTCCCTCCGGGTGGTGGGGCGCGGGCTGAGGCCGGCCCCGACGCCATGCGCCCCGCCCGGCAGAACGCGCTGTACCAGTCGAGCCACGAGGACGAGAACGACGTGCAGACCATCTCCCACAAGTGCCAGGTGGTGGCCCGGGAGCAGTACGAGCAGATGGCCCGGAGCCGCAAGTGCCAGGACCGGCAGGACCTCTACTACCTGGCGGGCACCTACGACCCCACCACCGGGCGCCTGGTGACGGCGGAGGGCGTGCCCATCCTGTGCTGAGCTGCCCGCCCGGCCAAGCCAGGAGCCCCGAGGTCGGGCTGAGCCAATATGCAAACCCACCCAAGGCTTTTCCGTGATTTTCCCTGGAAAGAGCGCTCTTAGGCGTGGACCCCAGTCCCGTCCATCTGCTGTGGAGGGTCAGGCTGGCCCCAGGCCCCCGGCCACTCTGCTTTCCCGCATCGGCAGTTCTCGAGATTCGTATCCAAGCCATATTTCCTATACCTCCGACTGTCCCACCAGGGAAAGCAGAAATCAGGTGTGTCGTCTATTTATTTCTCTATGTAAATATTGTATTTCTGCGGGGAAGTTTTATGGAAAAAAGTGGAAAAGGATTTTCCCCCCACTGGCGTGACGAGGGTGTGTCTGTGTGTGCGTGTGTCTGTGTCTGTGTGTGTGTCCACGCGAGCGTGTGCAGGGATTTTGTTCTGGAGTTTTCTATGGAAATGCGCTGTTCTCCTCAGCCTAGCTGAGTCCCTGAGGGGGCGCTCGTGTCAACAGAGGTAGCTCGTGTCAACTGGGGGCAGAGACCCCGGGACAGGTCGGGCGGGACCTGTTGCACCCTGTGATCTCTTAAGGGCCGACGGTAGACAGAAGTCACACTGGAGTTCATTTCCTTTGGATACATCTCTTAGGTAAAGGAAGAATCGGGGTTGGGGGTGGCAATGAGGGTCCCCCTGGAAAGAAAGGATTCCGGGCAAGGAGACGAAAGCAGGCTCCGTAGCCCCCCACCCAGGAGGGCAGCGGCCAGGCGTACCTTACCTCTGCTTAAAACAAAACAAAGGCGAACAAGTGTTTTAAGATACGAAAAGAAAAGGCGATGTCTTTATTTTATGCCCTAAATATTCCCCGTCGTTTCTGATTTCCGTTCACATGGCCAGTTTGTCACAGGGAGCAGGGCTTGGTCAGCCCTGACCCCCTTCTCACCACCGGGGGGTGGGGTGTGAAAGACACCCCTTCCCCTCCAGGCGCCTCCCCTGGTGCCCACAACCACTGGCCAACCTCACTGGCCTGCTCAGGCACAGCTGGTGGAGAGTCCTGTGGAGGCACTGGGGTGGGGAGAAGGACCCTCCCCCTTCTCCTCTCTTCCCGGCTTCTGGCCCTCAGCCCCCTGCCCGTCCCGCCCCGTGGGGTTTCTGGGTCTTTCTGTGGCCACTTGGCAGGACAGATTTCCTGCTCTGGCAGGATCATGCCTGGGGCACGGAACAAGCATCTCCTGTGCCCACCCCCTGGCCACCACCCCTGCCAGAGGCCCTTGTCCTCAGAACTGTGTTGGGGGACACATGCTCCCCAGGTCCTGTCACCAATTCCTCATCCCACTGGGAGCTGCAGGAAGGCTCCCAGAAGGAAGGGTGTGGGTGGACACCCGCATCCCAGTCAGGCCCTCTCCGCCCCTTCCTTCGCTCGGGCCCAACACCGAGTCTCGTTTCCTCAGCTGCTGCCTGTCCCCCACCCCATGCTCTTGGTGGCTCCACAGGGCACTCAAGAACAGGGAGGGGGCTGTTGTACAGGGCCCCGGCACCCAGCTTTCCCGCCCCCCCCCACCCCCACCCCCGTCTCCCCAGCGTCTCCGCGCGGGTGCAGTCTCTCACTCCTGGTGGTGGTTGGGGAAGTGCCCAACAAGGTCCCGCAGGAGGCCTGGCAGTCAGACATGTCCAGAGAAGGAAGGCGCACCGGCGGCTGGCTCTAGGGTCCAGGCTGCTCAGCCCCATGGCGAGGAGCGGCAGCGTCGGGAGGGCCTCCTTCCTGCTCGTGAAGCTCCCTTCCCGCCCTGCGGGGTCTCCTGTGTCCGCATCTTGCGTTTCGTTTCTCCCTTTCCTTTCTTTCCGTGTGTGTGCGACTGGCGCGACCCCTCCCCTCGTGGCTAAAGCACGATCCTTGTAAATGTGTAACTAAGAGGATGGTTGGATTTTTTTTTCAATGTACACACTAAAAATAAAACAAACAAAAAAGGTTTTATGAACAGCAAACTATGTAAAGGCATTTTAGTATTAAATTTTTTATTGATAACTTGCTGAAGAATAAATATATGAACTATTGTACAGGCTTTCTGTGGTCCGGATCATGACTGTGCTAGCCCCTGTGTGTGTGTGTGTGTGTGTGTGTGCGCGCGCGCGTGACACAGTGGCTTCCCAGAGACCCTGGCACTCCTGGAGGCTCAGCGGACACATCCAGGCCTGGGATGGGGGAGCTGGGCAGGGCGTCCCCGCCTGCCTCTGTGTTAGCCTGAGTGGAGCCCCGCAGGGCGCTGAGCCCAGCCAGGAAGGGCGCGTGTGACCAGCATGGACTTGAACCCGCCGACATGGCCAGAGTGGGCACCCCTGGGAGGGGAACAAGATGGGTGAGAGAGGTTCCCCAAAGCCCACTCGGCGCCATGGACCACGGGGATGAGTACTGCAGACAGGACGGGGCACCGCCTCGGGGGGCAAGAACCACGCACTCAGCGTTCCCAGGCGGCAGTCCTAACTGTTAAACAGGACTGTGCAGCCCCAGAGGCAGGCCCAAGATCGGGGTGCACTGGGAATGGGGTACAGCACACACCCCAGCTGGGGACAACCCCACCCATGGGGCTATAGACCCAAGGAAGCCTAGCACTCGCCAGGGCCAGGCCACTGGGTGGGGGTCCCGGGGGGCAGGTGCGCGGAGGCAAGGTCGCTGGGCAGTGGAGCTGTGCCGTATGCACACAGGCTGGCCCTGGCTGAGGCCGCCCTTCCTCCACTCCTGCCCTGCTGGGACCCAGAGAAAGACCCTAAGTAGGCAGATGGGGCACAGGCTGGGCCAGAGGCCTGGTAGGCTGAGGCCTGGAAACTGGGGGGAGGAGGAGGCCTGGCTGAAGGCCACCAAGGGGCCTTGGAATGTGAGCGGGGTGGGGGGGGGTGAGCCCCGGGCAGGTGACCACTGGGCAGTCCAACCAAGCAAGACCCATCTCGAGGGTTCGCCTTCTCTGAGGAGGTCTGCAGGAGTCTGGTGAACCCAGGAGGAGGACACACAGCCCAGCCCCATGGCCATCCCCACCCTGGCCTCCGCCCCCTCGTCCCCGACATCTGTGCCCTCCCCTCCCACCCTCTGCTCCATCCCTGCCCTTTTCCTCCTCCCACCTCATCTCAGGCAGGGTGGTCCTGGCCTTCCAGAACCTACTGCCCCAGAATGGGGCCCGGGGCCAAGGGCAGGGCGTCAGGGGAAGGACACAGGGCTGCGGACCCCTGGGGGTTAAACATGCAAGACTACACTTTGATCAAGACAAACGAGGCATTATGCGAAATGCTGAAACAGATAAATGATGGCCCTGGGTGAGTGGGATCAATAGACTGATGTTTCATCAGGTAGAAATGACAGCCCCGCGGATCGCAATTCGTTTTTAATACCACAGACCAATCGGGGACGAGGGGGCTTTAATTGCTGGTCCAGGCGAGGTTGCAGGGCTGGCGAGGCAGCGAAGCTCAGACCAGGCCAGATGTGGGGGAAGCTCGCTCCAGCACCCAGCCAGCCAGAGAGGGCCACTCCCGGGCCTCTGGGTGCCGGCTGCAAAAGTAAGAGGAAGTGGTGCTCCAGGAGAACCCTCGCAGGCTCCCTGTCCCAACCTGCCAAGCCCCTCCATTCCATGAGGGTCAGAGACCTGGCCTCGGGCTTTCTGTGCCCTTCCCTGGCACCTGCACCCTCTGTACCCCACCGAAGGCCACCTGCTCCTACCTGCCTGGGACAGTGACAAGAGTCCAGCCTGAGTGGACAAGCTCCAGGTAGACGGTCAGGCTGTGGGTCATTCAAGGTCAAGTCCCCTACTCAGTGACACCCCCTCATGACTGCGCCAGGGAAACCAAGAGGCCCCAGTAATGCCATCCTTAGCCTGCCCGGACTCCAGGAAAGAGGTGGGCAGGGCACGCAGCTGACTTGGCATCTATTTGGCTTCCAGACTAGGCCCCCGGTGCCACCTAACTCTTCCCAGATGACCCTGGCCCCAGTGTCCTCACTTGTGAACTGGAGACCTCGACTCTCCATTGCTCACCGACCCTAAGACCAGGCAGCCTAAGGGACTTCTAAGGGACTTCTGAACCAACATGGGCAGGACCCACCCAGTCCACTTCAGGGCAGGGCAGGGAGAGACGGGGCCCTCCCCGGTGCCTCCTCCTCCACTCTCCTAGGCCTCCAGGCCACGGGGATACAGCAAGGCCTGGGCCTAGTGGGGAGAGCCAGCCCCTACCCTGCTGTTAGTTAGGTCAGGGTCCTGGCTTGCTGCACAGCTCCTCAGAGACCAGGGAACTGTGGATTCCCCAGGCTGTGGCTCGGGGACGGAGGGCTTCACTGAGTGCCTGCTCCTGGGGTACATGGGTCCTGCATGCAACCAGCCCTGTTGAGAGACCCCTGGGTGTCAGGAACGCGACCCGCCACGCTCACGAGAAGGAACTGGAGACGAGCTCCAGCCTGCTGCAAACACCCTAGCATTGGCCAGCCAGCCCCAACAGACCCGCGACACCCCTGTCCCCTCACAGCAGGGCACGTGTGTTCTCAACCCCCAGCAATGTGATCCCTCCCAACATGGACACTGCTTGTTTCTTTCTCAGCCATCCATCCCTCTGTCCTTCCCAGGCTGATCCAGAGGCCTCCCTGACCCACCCTGCCCCAAGGTTCGAGCAACCCTCCCCTGAGCCGTCGGATGGTCTGAAGGCCCCCTCACAGTACTTCGCTGAGAGGGGAAGTTCAAACCACCCTCGTTACGGGGAGCCTCTAACAGGTTTATGATCATGCCCCTTGTCAGGAATCTGTTTTGGCTTATAAGAAACAGGCTTGGGATGCAGCTCCGGGGGCGTGCTGCCCTACCCTGAGAGGCCCTAGATTCAATCCCAATTTGTTTTTGCAAACAAAACAACAGAGACAAGCTCTGGCCAGCAGGGCGGTGAGACGGCTGCACCACAGGTACCAGGCCTCAGTGCTCCTCCACAGCCCCACAATGGCTCCCTTTTTCTGGAGCCTGCGGGGATGGTCTGGACAAGCCAAGAGGGAAAGGCAATGTAGAGGGTGGGAGGAGGGTGAGAAGGGGGCACATGCCCACAGACAAGGGCAGGGAGCCGCACAGTGCCCAGGCAGCCTGGGCCCCACTGGAGGGCGAGTGGCAAATGTGGAGGACCAGCAGGAAAACCACTCCTCCTCCAGCCGAGCAGGGCTCCAAAGTGTCAAAGCCCTCAAAAGGCACCCAAGGCCACTGCTCCTGAGTCCCTCAGTCCCTCATGCTGCGGGGAAAGGCTTCTCTATGCTGGACCGACCAGCTGGGGGGGCCACTCTGCACCCACGTGGCTCCGGCTGGTGAACCGCCAGGCGGCTCTGGTCACACGAGCCAATCAGGCCCATCCCGGTATCTCCGCCCCTGCACCACAGTGATTGGCTTTGGGTGATCACATGACCCAGGCTGAGCCAATGAGAGTCTGTCCCTGGGATCCCACGGGCTAACCCCGCTTTTTGGAGGGAGCCTGGTGAGGACGTTGCAAACCTGGGTGTTTAGTGGCTGTTTCCCGCGGTGATTGATCTAGTCTCCGCTTGGTACTGGGCTCCGGCAGTGACCGAGGCGGAACTCCCAGGTGGCGTGGCTGAATGAGTTACGGGACTACCAGATTCCGTTTAATTTCACACAAAGAAATTTGTGGCACGTGTGTTCCATGGAATATTTAGAACATACTCATACTAAAAAATGATTCGTTCTTTATCTGAAATTTAAACATAACCTGACATCTTGTATTTTATTTGCTAAATCTGGCAACCTTGAAGCCCAGCTGTCCACAGCCCACCTAGCAGTAAGCAGGTACACTAGCTGCCTATCACCCAGCAGAAAGGGTGCACTCAAAAGAGGCCAGACAGATGCTGAAGACACTGGAGGCCTCTGGAGCCCACTTCTGTCATGTTGACCCTCCCTCACCACAAATTCATGGCCACTCAGAAGTCCTTTTAGCCTACTGACCAAGGAGGCAGCAGCCACATTTACAGATAGCTCTTTGCAGAATGTCAGCAATATCCCGAGTGCAAGGCTGAGCCATATAGCCCCCTTTATAGCACCACCCTCCCAGGATACAAACGTTGAGCAGCTGTCTTCATGTCCAAGGTGAAGGTCAGTGCAGAGCTCCAGTAGTGCCTGGCCATCTAGTCAGACACGAGGGACTAGGAAGGAGAACATGGCAGACAAGAGCCAGGCAGGATTCAGTTGGAAAACATCTTGGGCTGCGCCCAGCTGGCATGCCCATGTGAGTATCACCAGAGGCCCAACTGCCAGTTAAGTTCTTACTAATCAGGGCACATGACCCAGCTAGCCAGCCTGGAGCTTGCTCAGGGCTTGCAGGGGTCAGGCAGGAAGATCATGCCCAGGACCCCACCATGAGGCTCCGTGCCCATGGCTAACTCGGGCGGGTCCCCAGTGCAGATGTCAGGAGTGAGAGCAGACCTTGAATTCCAGCTGTGGGGCTGCTGACAGTTTTGGACTCCCTCCACTGTAGTGTGGGCAGAATGTCCTCACCTTGTCCTCACCAGGAGTAGTCTCAGTTCTGGATTTGAACAGGCCAT